CAAGAAGAAAGTGACCCTTGCAGCTGGGTTCCCGTCCCCCTGCCTGGCCTCCCCTCCAAGCTGTAGCCTCAGAAGATGCTTTCACTCTTGCCCAACCGGCAAGCCTCCACGCCCATCTGAGCCTCCTGGTGCAGAAGAAGAGGAAAGCTTTGGGAAGAGAGCTCGAAAATTCCTGAACCATGATGCAAAGCCCAAAGACTACTGATTCAGATTTCACGTGCTGAACACGCACCAGTCTTGGGCCAGGATGTGAGATGACGGGTCCTGTCTGCCCTGCCCCACTTGTCATCCCTCCTCGGATACCGAGGACTCCCACTGCCAACCCAGAGCCACCTCCCGTTCACGTTCAAGACCAGTCTTACTCGTCCCTTCCCCCAGGCGACCAGCAAACTACTGCTTCTCGCAAATCTATCAGTAGATGTCTGCTGAGCCAGAAACCCGGGAGACAGGATCAGTAAATCATACTGTGCAGAGCCAAGCCTGAGTCCAAAGGAAAATCAGGACAATGGAGTCGGTCTTTATTTCAGACGTTGGTATTGGAGGGTGAGCGTGGTCGTGCATGCCTGTAATACCGGCGCTCAGAAGGCGGAGGCAGGAGGATCTCCAAATCAAGGAAGGCCTGGGCTACCTAGCAAGAGCCTGCCTCATAAATAAATAAGTAAAATAAAATGTTGGTGACACACTGGGGATGTATCTCAGCGGTACAGCACTTGCATAGCGTGTGTGAGGCTCTGGGTTCGATCCCCAGCACACACTCACACACACACACAGAAGAAGAAAGTTGATATTTTGTTCGTTGTGGACTTTTTTGGCGTTCGTTTTATCTTTTTAAGAAATGCATGAAAAGGTGGTTTGTTGATTATTTATTAGATGTAAAGAATGTTTATTAAGTGACATTCACTCTGATGGTTAAGTGTTTTCCCATGTTTTTTACTGAGTCCCTTTAACTTCTGAGCTAGAGTCAGTACCTTCCTGGCCTGACCCTCGTCCCGGTCCCGGACCAGGGCTGCTTGACAGAGCTCTGTGAAGACCGGAGGCGACAAGCATGGTTCTTAGGGGCCGAGGCCTGGAGTTTGCTCACTGCCTAGGTTCAGAGCCCAGTCCCCTTCAGGAAAGTTGCTTAACCTCTCTGTGCACAGGAGGTTGCCGGAGGCTGCTGAGGGGATTGTGTAGAGTGACCACAAACACGCCTGTAATCCCAGCGACTGGGGAAGTAGAGATTGGCAGGATCGAGGTTCGAGGCCAGCCTGGGCCCAAAGCTAGCAAGACCCCATGTCATCCAGTCAACTGGGCGGGGAGTGCACGACTGTCATCCCAGCTACAAGGGAGGCACAAATAAAAGGACTGAGGTTCAGGCTGGCCAGGAGAGGAAGCAGGAGACTCTATTGAAAAGTAAACAAAAAAGGGCTGGGGGCGTGGCTCAAACGGTGGGGTCCTGAGTTCAAATCCAGTATATTAATAAAATCCCAATGTATTAATAAAAACAAATGAAAACAGCTGTCAACCCTGTAGGCGGTTGTCACTGTAATCAGACACTCGCTTGTCCTGTGCTCTTTCTACAACATGGCTGTCCTCTGAGCAGAAATCACCCCAAGTGGACTTTCACACACTAGGCTGACCCAAACTTCGCCAGCTTAGGTCTCTGGCATCTTGCAGTCCCGCTGCAGCTCGCAAGCAAGCAGACACCAACGCCTCCCCAGAGGCCCGGGGATGGCCATCCATGCCCTCACTCTTTCCATGCAATAAGCCTGGTAAATGTCCCAGGCTCGCAGGACATTGGGCGTCCCAGGCTGCTCCCTGCCCTTAAGCGCCATGACCTAGCCCCCCCTGGGCTGTATTTTTAGCCTCGTGCTTGGGGCTGGGGCCGGGTGCAGGGAGGGTCAGGAGCGCCCTCGGACTTTCTGAGTTCTGTTGCACACAGGGCCACTGTCATGGGTGTGCTATCTGCTTAGCGACACAGGTCCCCAAGCCTGGGAGTGCCCCGCTCTTGCTTTAATGCTCAGCTTGTGCCATCTTGAAATTTCTTTCCTTCCTCCCTCCCTCCTTCCTTCCCTTCATCCTTTCGTCTCTTCCTTCCTTTCTTCCTCCCTTTCTCTCTCTCTTTTTTTTTTTTTGGTGGTACTGGGGTTTGAACTCATGCTTGCTAGCAAGGTGCTCTACCAACCTGAGACAGTCTGTCAGTCCTTTATTTGCGATGGGTTTTCTCCACATAGGGTCTCGTGAACTGTTTGCCCAGGGCTGGCTTTGAACTTCGATCCTCCTGATCTCTGCTTCCTGAGTAGCTGGGATTACAGGCGTGAGCCACCAGCTCCCGGCCCTGCTTTCTTTCTTTATTTCTGACAAGCACTCGCTATGTAACCCAGGCTAACCTCAAACTCCTATCTTTTGAAAAACATTTCTTAGTACTGGGGTTTGAACTCAGGGCCTCACACTTGCTGGACAAACACTCCACCACTTGAGCCACAGCCCAAGCCCTCCACCTTCAGTATGGAGCCTGATTGTACCTAAGGGGGGGGGCAAGGGAGGAGATGGGGCAGCCTGAAAGTATTATCAGGTGACCTTGCTTCAGACCTCCTGTGGGCCTCTCCTCTTTGCCCCTCAGAAACGGGGGCAAACTTGCTGCCTGCTGGCCTCGGCTCTTTCCCCACAGCCCTATTCATGGATGCGTTTTTTGTTTTGTATTTTTTCTTTTTGCAGGCTGGGGATCAACCCCAGGCCTCAAGCATGCTGGACAAGTGCTCTGCCACTGAGCTTAGTCCCCAGCCCTCGGATTATTCTGCACACGGCATTTGGGATTCAGCGTCCCCTTTCCACATGGGATGACTAGGATGGAAGTTCCAGGAGGACGGTTTGGGGCCTGTCCTGCTGGTGGCTGTGTCCTCAGCGCTGGGCATGTCCCTAACTGGGTATTTGTAGACGGGATGAGCTGTCACCTTTACTCAGGTTCCATGCCGCACACATTTTCATTGTCCTTGAAGGTGCTTCTGCCTGCAGGGGTGCAGGTGAGGGGTGAGGAGCTCTCGCTGCAGAAGGTGGGAGGAGGACCCCAAATTGTGGAGACCAGGGAGGCTGCGCAAAAGTGGAGGCAGTGGGGGGAGGTGAGGGTGTGTCCCCAGGGATGGCACGCAGCTGGGTGGTGGCAGGGGTGGTGGCGGTGGTGGGGTGTCCCTGTCCTTCAAAAAGGAGCCCAAAGGATTCTGGAACTCGGGAATGACAGTGGGAACAAGATGCTTCTTGCCACGGCGCTGGGTGGCGTGGGTGGAGAGGGACAGAGACCCGGGGGCCGGGCCTGGGGCGTGGGTGGAGCGCGGAGGGGACGGGCGCGGGGGTGCAGGGCGGGTGTCCCCAAGGCAGGCCCGGGAGCCTCGGGGCGCGGCGAGTCCGCACACGCGCGCCCGCGATCCCGCCGCCCCGCCGCGCGCAAGCCCGCACTCGCCCGCCCGCACCCGGACTTGAAAGCGCGGCGCCGCGCCCGGGCACGTCCCGCAGGGCGTCGGCCACGGAGGCCTCCACCCACCCAGGAGAAGCTGCGGAAGTGGGGGACACTGAAGGCCTGCCTCGCTGGGGTGACTGGTTAAAAAGCAAGCCACAGCCCTGAGCCCTTCTGGTCTGCAAAATAGCACTGTCCCCAAAAGCAAGTCACAGCCCTGAGCGCTTCTGGTCTGCAAAATAGCACTGTCCCTCAAAGCAAGTCACCAGCCCCGAGCCCTTCTCCTGCTCTGCAAAATAGTGTTGTCCCCAAAAGCAAGTCACAGCCCTGAGCGCTTCTGGTCTGCAAAATAGCACTGTCCCCAAAAGCAAGCCACCAGCCCTGAGCGCTTCTCCTGCTCTGCAAAATAGTGTTGTCCCCAAAAGCAAGCCACAGCCCTGAGCGCTTCTCCTGGCCTGCAAAGTAGGCAGCACTGTCCCCAAAAGTAATCCACCAGTTCTGAGCCTGCAAAACACACAGGACTTTTCCTGGGGCAGTTCACTTCCTTCCAGCTCATCTAATCCTGGGAAGACCGTTTGGGGGTTCCAGGCTGGCGATGGCTGAGGCTCAGGCAAATCAACCCAAGTTGACACAGGAGATGTGACAGCATTCAGAACCAGAGCTTCGTCTGCTGCGTCCTTTGTGGCACGGACTGAGAAACTCAGCATTTACGGAGCCGCTACCGTGCGTGCACAGGCTTCCACGCATCAATGAGCTCACTGCATACAGAGCTTTGGGGAATAGTTGCTATCATCACCTCCACTTGACAGAAGAGAAAATTCCAAATAAGAGTTATATCCGGTGGCTCACGCTTTAATCCTAGATACTTGGGAGGCCAAGATCAGGAGGATCACGGTTCGAGGCCAGACCAGGCAACTATCCTTGAGAGTCCCGTCTCTAAAATAACCAGAACAAAATGGACTGGAGGTGTGGCTTCAGCGGTAGAGCTCAAGTTTTATTTCCTTAAAACCTGCCCTTGGTCTTACAGGTGACCAAGTGGGTTCTGCGCGGGGACAGGTGACTCCAAAGCACCCTTTTGCTAACCACTATGACGAGCCAAGCAGGGCAAAGCGGTTTGCAAACTGCTGCTCTCATTATGACCGCTGTGGTTGAGCCCAGGCGCGGGTCACGACCCGAGAGAGGGTGGAGCAGGGGTCACTGGGCGCCCGGCCCGCTTCAGCCGGGCCAAACCTCAGCGTGGGGAACTCAGAGGCCGGCCGCCGGCTCCGCCCATCACCTGCCACTCAGGGGCGGGCCCAGGTGAGGCCGGTGGGTGTGGCCTGGAGCGTGAGTGGCAGGCGCGGGGCGCGACGCGCATGCGCAGTAGCTCCGCCCGGGGCCTGGTCGCGGAGCCGGGCGGGGCCCGGGGCGGTGGCGGCGCAGTGGGGGGCGGAGCCGGGGCGGGGCGTCCGGGCGTCCGGGGGCGGGGCCACACACTCGGGCCCCGCGTCCCGCTCCCATGGCCGCCCCCGGCTCCCCGCGCTGCCCCCTTTCCCCCGGGCCGCGCCCCGGGGCCCCGCACTGACGGCCCATGGCGCCGCCCGCCGCCCGCCTCGCCTTGCTCTCCGCCGCCGCGCTCACGCTGGCGGCCCGGCCCGCGCCCAGCCCCGGCCTCGGCCCCGGACCCGGTGAGTTGAGCGACCCCCGGAGCCTGCCCGGTACGCGGCCGGGTTCTGAGTCGCCTCGGGACCTTCCGGGACCCCTTCCCCGAGCCCCTCGGCGACACCCCGGGCCCGCCTGGTGTCCCCTGCTTCTGGGGGGGACGCGCCCCCCCGAGATCGCCAACTTCACTGCCTCCCTGGACCCCTTCCCCGAGCCCCTCGGCGACACCCTTCGGGTCGAGACGTCTCTGTCTTAGACACCCCCTATCCAAGCCCCTCAGTGACCACCCCCCGGGCAGGGGCGCCCCCTGCACCCCGGTTTCCCCTGGGATTCCCGTCCCCAAGTCTCCGCGACGTGCCTCGGGCCGGGCTGCCCCCCCACACCCCGTTCAAGGAACTGCACCCCCAAGACCCTCAGTGTCGCCAGCCCCGAGCTAGGATCCCCCTCCCCGCCCGACTCATTCCGACGCCCCCTCCACCCCCTTTCTCTCCCCGCCCGCCTCTACATCGGGGACCCCCGCGCTCCCCGCGGGGTGCGGAGACGGGAGGAGCCCGCGTCCAGCCCCGCTGCCCGGTCCCCACTGCGCCCGCTTGGCCCACCCGACACTGGAACTTGTGCCTTCTGAGCTGTGGAGGTGATTTGCTTGCCCTGCTATGGGCAGGTCAAAGTCCTGGGGTGACCCTCGGTACCCAGCCAGGTCTCCCCCTCCCTCCTGGTTCCCCCCAACTTTGAACTTCCCCAGGACTCAGGTGACCCAGCAGGGACAGAGGGAAAAGGGCATGGTGATGAAAACTTCTCCCCTACAGAGTTTGGGGTGATTTTCCCGAGTGCAACGCTGAGTCTCGCGTCCTGGGTAACCCCACGCTTTAAACAGGTGACCTGCTCCCCAGACCGACGGCAAGGACAAAGCCAGGTCTTCCCGAGGTGGGATCCTGGCTCAGGATGGAAGCTGGGACTTTGCTTAGCTTCCACACACACCCTTTCTTGTAGCAGAATCCTTTCCAAGTTGAAGAGCAGGCACAGGGTGTCGCCTGGCCCAGTTTCCCTGCAGGTTGTTTGGGTGTTGCGTATGGCACATTTATGGAAGGGAAGAATTCATTACGCTCTGCTGGAGTTGGAAAACCAGCCTGGGGTTCTCCACCCAAAGTCGCACTCCAACTGCGATGTTGGAAAGACAGGATTTTGTTATTGAAAGAAAACTCACTTGCTTTGTTTTCTTGCCAATGTGGGTGAGTGAAAAGGCTAGGACTTGGTGTCATTTACTGTGTGACTTTGGTTATGCCTGCAGCTCTCTGAGCCTCAGTTTTCTCATCTGTAAAGGCGGGGAGTGATGTTACCTTTCTTGCAGGGTGTTGTGAAGATTAAATGATATATCGTAGGTAACACACCCACATGTAAAAGGCAATAAACATATATATGTATATATACATATATGTAGTTTTTTTTTGGTGGCACTGGGGTTTGAACTCAGGTCCTGTGTTGCTAGCTAAATAGGCACTCTACCACTTGAATCACGCCCCCAGCCCTAATAAGCATATTTTAATACTACTTTTTTATAGGGCCTTGCAGTTTGCTCAGTGCTAGCTACCTCATTTACCTGGGAACAGCGTGAGCTTCCCATCTGATGGATCCTTGTAAAAGGCAGAGCTTGTCGTTAGCTCTGTAGATGGAGGGTCTCATTCTTAGGTAAGCTGTTTTTGAGGACCTGCAGTCTTCTTTGGGACTCCTCAGTTTGATCACTTCCACTCTTAGCAGTGTGTGCAGAGTGAGGGAAGGCCATTCTGAGAGCCAGGACATGTCAACATAACTGTAACCTAGTAACCCGTTAGCTCCACTTTGCCATCTGTGTGTTCAGGGTTTAATGTCGTCTACAGAGAGAGTGGTATGGTGGAAACGATTAGTGCCCCTTCTGGAAAGAGCAGAGCAGTAGCTCTGAGAAGCATCCCGTGAGCCACTTCTACTTGGGCCTATGCCAGGAGCCCTTGCTTTGCTAGGTCCAATACAGCAGCTGATAGGAAACTTAAACCCCAAATCTTGGTGTGCTTTCATTTAGGGGTCTGGGGTTAGAGCAAATTAGTTACCTTTGGGAGCCAATTTGTGATAAGTTGTTCAAGTCCTTTTTTTTTTTAATTGTTTAAACATTTATTCATATGTGTATACATTGTTTGGGCCATCTCTCCCCACCTGCCCCTCACCCGGCTGTTCAAGTCCTTAATTCAGAAGCTCACCCAGGGCTGGAGCTGTGGATCAAGTGGTAGAGCGCCTACCTAGCAAGCATGAGGCCCTGAGTTCAAACCCCACTACCACCAAAAAATAAAAATAAAAAGCCCCACAGGCTTGGCTCCTTACCATCCTGGTACATCGAGGCTTTTCTGACTTTTCCGCTCCAGTCCAGAAGCAGTTTTAGGGCCATACCACATGGTCTTCAGCATCACATCCTGTCAAGAGCCCCCGCCACCACCACCACCACCACTAGCTTTTTGTTTTAAAAGTCCTTCCCAATAAAAAACACGTTTTACACTGAGGATTTGCCAGACTTGCCATTTCATATTTGTGATACTGTAATTTTCTCTAAAATTTTGTGGATGGAAAAAATTATTCCACTACTTATATTCTGCACAATTTGGTAATATTCAAATTACTGGTGGTTTGCATTTTTGAATGCTGACTTTATAAAAACATTTAGCTCATTCGCCATCAGTGCTACTTCTAATTGCAGTGTAGAGGCAACCCCGAGGGATCTCCCATCTCTCCATTCTTCCTTCCAGATTCTTGCCCTTCTTTCACAACTGATAAGAAGGAAGATAGAAGTTAGTGGTGGAATCTAACCTATCCTTCCATCCTTCTCCTCTAACTCCACCTCTGGAATCTGTCCCATAAAATCTGAGTTCAGCCACCAGCCAGAGCCTCACGCTCTCTAGAGAGTCCTGGCCCTCTTGGGGACTTCACCAATGCTAATAGAATTACCTGGACACGCAGCGAAGGAGAGACGGACCAGCAGGAAAGCCAGTTTTGTGTATGCTCTGAGTACACGTTTGGAATACACAGGGAGCCCTTTTATAAATCCTAAAGCAAGAAGCATTGCATTTACATTCACTAGGAGCCAGCAGCAAGTTGGTGAGACACACGCATAGTTTAGCATGGATGGACCAAAAGACTAAATGATTAAGGTAAAATATATCACTTTCAGTAGCTTCACAATATCCAGATTAGGTTTTTTTGGTAATCATCTTTAGAATTTTTGAGCCTGGAATGCCACCTGAGCCTCGAGGCCGGGGCATGCAGTAAATCACTGGGACTCTGTGGACCACATGCCGTCTCTGTTGTGGTTACTCAACTCTGACTTTGTAGGACAAAAGCAACCATAGATTAAATGAAGAACAGGCATGGCTATATTCCAGTAAAACTTTATGGACCCCGAAGTTTGAATTTCAGATAATTTTTACATGTCATAATATATTGTCCTTTTGAATTTTTAAAAAGCTAAAACCTAGTCTTAGCTTGTGGACCATTCAGAAATGGGCAGTGAACCACCTGAGCCACCGACTTTTTTTGACCAAATTTGGCTCTCTATACATGTGTATTGTTTTTTGTTTTTTGTTTTTTCAGTGTTCACTGACTGGAAAAAGTGACAAAGAGGCTAGATTTTGGCGAATGGACAAATCTTTTACCATTAACTGTTAACTAACTTTAAGATATAGGCACAGTGGTGAACACCTGTAGGCCTAGCTGTTTGGGAAGTTGAGGCAAGATCACTTGGGCCCAGAGTCAGAGGTCAGTCTGAGCAACACAGCTAGATCAGAGAGAGAGAAAGAGAAGAATGAAGTGGAAGAAGAAGAAAGGAAGGAAAGAAGGGAGGGAGGGATGGAGGAAGGAAAGAAAAAAAATACGTATGGGAAAAATAGTTAAAATAATAAATTATATATTTTACCATGGTTTAAAAAAAAATACAAGCTGGGCACTGGTGGCTCACACCTCTAATCTTAGCTACTCAGGAGGCAGAGGTCAGGAGGATCGAGGTTCAAAGCCAGCCTGGGCAAATAGTTGGAGTGACCTGATCTCGGAAAAAACAAAAAAAGGGCTGGTGGAGTGGCTCAAGGTGTAGGCCCTGAGTTCAAGCCCCAGAACCACAAAGAAAATGATACGGATGGGGAAAGTTCGTGTACACATTTGGGTCTTTAAGAAGACTTTTAAAAAATGCTTTAAAGGAAAGTTCCATGTGGTTCAGTGTGCACTACAAGAAAACATCATGCCTACCTCAGGACTGGCCTGTGTTCCTTGCTCAGCTCTGCCTGCTGACATTGCTCGAGACAGACTGTTGAGAGATCTGATTCTCAGAGAAAAGCCCAGGCTGCAGCAGGTGACACCAGCCTGAGACCTAAAAAAAAATCAGCCAGAAAAACTAAAAAAACTTTTGCCACTATCCTAAGCAGTTAAATTTTATTTCCATGGTTCTGTTGTCATATTTGAAACGGTCTTTACAAAACAACGGTGTGCTTAGCATGGCTGATTATTTTGTTTTAATTAAAACATTTTTGAAAAAACAAAATGAAACATTCAGACATACCAAGCTGATTGTGTTTGTGCTGTGGAACAGTTAATGCAAAACACTTGAGAGGCCGGAAGTTTGGATCTGTAGCTTTTGTCTGAGTTTTTGCCTCCTGATAAGGACAACATAGCAGGAGTTGAGTGTGTCCCTTAGAAAGCTAAGTGTCTCTGGGACTTTGAGGGGAGAGCTGCTCAAAGCCCCCTGCTCACTTGGCAGGTTAACCTGGCGGGCGCTGCCCAGCCTCCCCATGTGAGAGGAAGATGACTGACATTCCTTCCACAATTATTTTGACCTTGAGACTCCAGCTGGCACCCGGAAGTGGAGCAGGCTGAGGTCACTCTATTTTTTCCTCCCTGTCTTGTCATCATTGTGTTACTGCCATGATGGTGGTGCCTTTCTCCCAGACCTCAGCTTTTGAGCCACCGTCTAGATTCAGAGGGCAAGGAGAGAGGCCATCATAGAAATGCCAGAGAGTTG